AGACATTGGTTAGATCCAGTGACTTGACCCAAAGAGTTGTGAGTTCAGTATCAGGCCACAGCAGTGGTGAACCAAAAAACTTGAAGAGCTGAGTTAAAGGGAAATAATTGAGATATCTGGAAGAGGCATAGCATGTGGAACTAGGACAATCTACCCCGGTGGACAAAATAAAGGGTTTGGTTTAAAATTCCAATCACCTGAAGAAGGCCGAAGCGTACAACAGCCGAAATATTGTGAATACAGCAATGAAGATGAGGGTAGCAATCTGAATAATGATTTTTTTTTTTTTTAAATCATTTCACCCTAAGCAATGTGGGAATGCCAATTGTAAACAGGGGGTTACAGGGAATGAAAGTGAAAGAGAAAACTGTGTATAGGGAGGATTAAGGAATGGACAAAAGACCAACAGGATTTAAGAAAATAGAAGATGGTGATTGACATTGCATTTGAATTTTTGAAGATTGTAGTTATGAGGCAGCAAGTAAACAGAAGGCGGGAAGTGCAAGAAAAGAAACTGTTGGTGTAGAAGTGGCGGTTGCATCTAGCTAGTTCAACAGTAAAACGGTGGGACCTAGTTGCCACTCTAGTAGCACACTTAAATTCATGTAGTCAGGGCACCAGAGAAACTCATCAGAGCAGTTGCCATGATTTGTAGCAGACAGAGGGAAGCCATATCACATTGCTGAGAAAGTGACTAAAGTCAAGGTGCCTGGTCAGGATCGATAACATGACAGACCCTTCTTTTGGCAACAGTATTCAATTCGCGGAAGAATGGTAGAGAAGAATGTGCAAAATGGCATCTGATAACAAATTTTTTTTTCTAGCACTTAAGATCCAATAAGAAATATTTTGCATGGCTGTGAGAAGATACATTCTCATGCAGGGAACAATATGCAACCATGAAGTGTTTAATATTTTTGTTGTCAATTCTCAAGAACAAAAGAAAAAAAAATGTATAAATTGACTTCCATTATGTGTTTAGGTTTTATTCCGATTCTAATTGTTGCTTTTTAAAACAATAAACATTGGTGAAAAGTGAAGGTAGTTAAAAAAGCAGTCATGGGAAAAACTGTCCTTTTGATATTCCATCTTATTGGAGGCACATTTATTCATGTTTGCCAAAAATGTTTTCTTATATCCATAATTTTTAAATTGTCATCTGAAGTCAAGTAAATAGAGAATTGGGAGTTAAATTACTAATCATCATTTTTTAAATTAATAAACATTTCAGAAGAGTGAAGGTAGTTATAAAAGCAGAGTCATAGGAAAAAAAGCTCCTTTTGACACTGCTTCTTATTTTGGGCACGTCCATCTTTGTCAATTTTTCTTTACTGTTATTTTTCTGATTCTTTTCCTTTCAGTTTTTGCCGTCATTTTTCGCTTTATTTTCATCTGATTTTTCACTTTTTATCCTCCTCAGATCTTTCTTTCTTCCAGTTTTTTTTACAAGTTTTTTTTTATTTTCATTTTCCAAATGTTTAATTTTCATTTTGACCATTTTTCCAGACTACTATGAGAGGGGATTCTACACATTGCAATTTGCCCTAATGAAAAGTCTTCTGGAATACCTGCAGCCAAAAAGTGTTGATTTCTTTAACCAAACACAGATTGCACTACAGCGCCATCCATATCCACCATTTAATGATGACAAAATGGTAATGGTTCTTCAGAACCAATTCCCATTTATTCTGATTATCAGCTTTGAGCTGCTTGCTTTAAATATCGTGAAAGACATTGTAGAAGAAAAAGAAAAACGACTAAAGGTAAACATCACTTTGTAATACTGATTTTTAAGATAGACTCACCCCCCCCCCAACACACACTTGTAAGATTGGGACAACACGATCTTTCTACCTTCATTTGGCTTTGTGCTATACTAAACTTAGCTTAGTAAATACTGAGCCCAGGTAAAATCCAGGATTAAGAAGGATGATTTTCAAGTAAGGCAGGCCCTCCTCACTTGGAAGATTGTCACAACATAATCTTCCTACATCCATTTGGCTTTGTGATATACTAAAATAAGTATAGTAAATGTTGAGTCCATGTATAAGCCAAGATTAAGAAGGCTGATTTTCAAGGCAGACCCTCCCCACTAGGATGATTGGTACAACACAATCTTCCTTTCTCTATTTAGCCTTGTGATATTGTTGTATCCTTAAAGAGGTTACAAAAAGACAAAGGTGTTACTCAAGTGAAAGAAACAGCAATACACACATAAATGAAAGAAGAGAGGTTTATTGTAAAAGAGAATACACTACTGAAAGACAGGGAATCAGGTGACAGGCTAGTAATTCCCGAAGCAAGGATATCTACCAACAGCCCCACATGGTCAAATGTGGCACAAGGATTTAATGTGGTCAAAAATTCCCTGTATAAAACAGGGTCAGGTGGCTGTTTTCCAAGAAGAGACTCTGCTCTTCAGCATAGTCTCATCTGGGGATCCTCCCTGCCTGGAAGCAGAGAGTTTGACCAACACAGCTGGAGACAAATCTCCAACTAATTTCCAAAGCAAGGATATCTACCAACTGTGCCACGTGGTAAGATGTGGCACAAGGCCAAATTTAATGTGGGGTATCTGAGCCCATAGGCTTGGCAAAAAATTCCCTGTATAAAATGGTGTTGGATAGCTGTTTCCCGAGAAGAGACTCTGTCTTTAACATAGTTTTGTCTGAGGATTCTCTCTGCCCAGAGGCAGAGAGCTTGACCAACACAGCTGAAGACAGATCTCCTACTAATTCCCAAAGCAAGGTTATTTACCTTACTTCCCCACGAGGCAGGATGTGGCATAAGGCCGCTTTTTAATGCTGGGCAAAACTGAGCCTATAGGCTCAGGCAAAAATTCGCCGTAGACCCTATATACATGGGGTCGGGTAGCTGTCTACCACTTCAGATGAGACTCTGCCCATCGGCATAGCCTCGTCTGGGTTCCTCTCTGCCCGAGGGCAGAGAGTTCAGCCAGCACAGCTGGAGACAAATCTCCAACTAATTGCCAAAGCAGGCCCCGAAGTATATCCTGTGCTCACTATATATATCTACCAATATAGTCAGTCCCCATAGGCGATAGGGAGTGTGGGACATTCCATTACAACACCTCCTCCTGAGCTAATTTTCCCATGAAATTTTGCTCAATACCTCTTCTTTTTGGGGTCAGGACATAGTTGCTTGACTTTTTTCCTCTTCCTAGAACTTTTCCATCTCACCAGTACAAAGGATATACTAAACTAAGCTTAGTAAATAGTTAGACACAATAAAAACTAGTACTAAGTAGGATGATTTTCAAGGCAAGTAGCCACCGACCTCCAACTTGGACGATTGGCACAACACAATCTTCAGTACATTCTTCTGGGATTAAATAAGTTTTGAGAAAATAAATTGTTTCTGAATTGTAATTTAATAACTTCTTTCATATTTTTTTCTTCAGGAAGCCATGAAGATGATGGGAATGAGTAACTGGATTCATTGGTTTGCCTGGTTTATCAAGTATCTTTGTTTCACACTCGTTACCACCTGCATAATGACTGTGCTCTTATGCGTACCTGTCGGGTCAAAGGGCAGTGTCCTCAGATTCACTAACCCTATCATTCTTTTACTTTTCCTTATGATTTATTCACTGGCTACAATTTCCTTCTGCTTCATGCTGAGTACTTTCTTTTCAAGAGGTAAGTTTCATGTCAAAACACGAGTTTTCACAAAAATGAAATTAAACTAATAAATAAACTAATAATAAAGATTTAAAAAAAAGAAAAGAAATTCATTTTCCTGCGATGCAAGTAATAAATGAACTGGAAAGGGTTTCTGGTTGTCTACTTAATTTTATGACCCCCACTTCCAAAAAGGGCAGGATCTTTCTTTTTCCACCTTCTGACTACATCATCTGGATGTGTCTTTACCTCTACTCAGGAAATGAGTCATTTGTTGTTCTTACTTAACACAAAGCTCACCTTTTTTAACCATTATTAGTGTTATGGTCCGGTTCCTTGTACCACAGTGATAGTCCAAGGTAGAACCAATAAAGAAGAACTCGAACACGGATATGGAATAACACAGATATATTACAAACAGGAATATATACAGAGAAGTAGAAAGTGTTAGTACGAACAATCAGGTTTAGTAGGGTGAACAATGTAGTCTCGACCAGTATCACTATTCCAATATCTTGCAGTAATTGTCTGAACGTGACTCTGTTTTAGACTGCCTCTAACTCGACTCTTGTCTCGACTTTAACTACTGATGATATTCAGTCACCCCCCCCCAAAAGGGCGTCATGTGGCACAAGGCCTTTTTAACGTGGGATCTCCGAGCCCGTGTGCTCGGCCAAAAATATGCCCATTGAACCCGTATAAATGGGTTCAGGGTCGATTTACATCCCCGAAAGAGAATCCGCCCTTTGGCGTAGCCTCCTTCGGGTTCCTCCCTGAAGGCAGAAAGTTCAACCGATCTGTCGTTCAAGACTTGAGTGACTGACTCCCTGCCTACGACTGAGGCACAGTATTTATTAAGTATGGAATAGTCCATTATTATTATTATGGGTAAGATCCCATAACAATTAGCATAATTTACTTTTGGACCAAAAAAGAAGACAGATATACACAAGAGGCATCGAGACCTTTGTTTTACTATAGTCACCATAAAAGGAATAAACATTTGTAGTAGAAACTCAAGTTTTCTGAAACAATTTAATCTGTTAGAGGCTTATGGCCATTGTTATGTTCCCGGGGGGGGGGGTGAAATGTGGTTGTGTGAAGAAAGATAAGAAGATGGAATGAAAGGATAAGAAAACAAACTTTATTAAATGAGATACAGTTCGGATGGTTAATGGAGCCACTGAATGCGTAATGATAAGATGTAGGCCTTGGAGATCTGTCCAGCTCACCTTGGTGTCATGGCTGAACACACTACCCAGAATTCCCTGTGCCTTAAAACAGAAGTGACTACCTCCCCCTGGTTTAAAGGGGATAACTTTGCATAAACATTTTCATCAGGCCAACTGTGCCCTAACAGCTATATCATGTTGAAACACAAGTTCTCATACGATCACTGAAGTTAAGCAACTTCGAACATGTTCAATATCTTGATGGGTGACTTCTTGGGAATACCAGGTGCTGTAAGGAGACAAGGAAATTGAACACAGAATAGGAGCAGTTTTGCACAATACAGCAAGTGGGTGCAAAACCAAAACATTAACCTAAGAACTCAAACCCTGTTCTTAAATAGCCTCATCAGATCAAGACTTTCATATGGATGCCATGCATGGCACCAGATTCATTGAAAAACATCTAAACTTTTTTGAACCTTGTGAACTGGTGCTACAGAATCAAAAAGAACTGTACCAAATAACAGAAACCACATCACTTGAGGACTTTCAACAGCAGCAACAGCTAAAATGGATAGCACATGTAACTTGAAGAGAAACTAATAACATAATCAAGATGTTGACATTCTACACAACTTCAAAGAAAAGGTTAGGAAGGAAACCTCCATCAATACTGGAAAGAGTGATAACAGCTACTGGACTTGGGAAGAGAAACTAATGACATAATTAAGATGTTGACATTCCACACGTCTTCAAACAAAAGATTAGGAAGAAAGTCCCCATTAATTCTGGATAAAGCAATAACAGTTTGGGGCAAATGCGCATCAATACAGATGCAAAGAAGGCTCAGAGTTACATATGGGCATATCTGTTAAAACTAGTTACATCCAGGCTTTCTCCCATTAGTAGCAGAACAGTTTGGTATGTCCAGACCTGGACCTCTCTGCAACTTTCCCAGTCTTTGTCAACTGTCTCATATCAATAAAAGCAATGGGAAAACCAGCAGTCAGCAAATGGTGAGACTTGGTGTTTTGTAAAGACAATCCCTTGGCACATTTTGCACTAAATGTTGTATACCACCAACTGTGCTATGGTTTCTGAGGCAGCGTTACTTTTGTTTCTTCTCATGGCTTTCCCTGCCTATGACCTGATAATTCTTAGGAGAACAATCTGTTAAGTGTTTCCCTCAGACGTCAACACACCCATGCCTTATTTTACAACAAAGCTACTGGACTTGAGAAACCTATTTTCCTTAAAATTATTTAAAAAAAAAGATTTTATAAATTTTGACCAAAAATAGCCCTGGCTGTTCAGTCAATAAATTCCTTATAAGGAAACAGCTAATATTAACATTACCATAATTTTGGGATGAGTCATTAACAGGTCTACCATTGTTCAAGTGTTCAATGGAGTTACTGTTGTTAACAATATTATTTTGAGAAAAGTCATTAACATGTCCAGCCTTATTTTAATTCTCTTTTTTTTTTTTTTTTTTTGTATATTTGATATTATTAACACTATAACAGTGCAACATTGTTCAGACACTTAGATATCTTCTTTGTAGAATTGTTTTTTTTTTTTTACACAGTGTTTCAGCCAATACATTCTCTAGCCATCATCAGGAATAATTTGTGAAAAAAAGGAAACTTTCAGGGCATTACAATTATAACATCATAATAATGAAACTGATAATTGCAAATTTCATATTAATGGATAAATTGTTGTCTAAATTATGCAAAGATGAAAATAACATAGACATCTCATTTTAACAGATATATTTACCAACATTACACAAAAATATCTTGAAATACTAAAGAGTAAATTTATTCAATAAAATTACGATTGGCTTCAATCACAGCTTCCAGATGACTTTGGGACCTCCTGCAACTCTTCTGAATGGCTTCCTTGTTTAAGTTGGTGAATGTTGCTAAAATCCCTGCCTTCAGCTCATCTTTGGTGTTACAATGGGTTCTGTTGGTCTCTCATTCAACAGCACCCCACACATAATAATCAAGGGGGTTGCAATCTGGGGCGTTAGGTGGCCAGATGTAGGAGGTGATTATTCTTTGTATATATATATATATATATATATATATATATATATATATATATATATATATATATATATGTATGTATGTGTGTGTGTATATATGTGTATGTATGTATGTGTGTGTGTATATATGTGTATGTATGTATGTGTGTGTGTATATATGTGTATGTATGTATGTGTGTGTATATATGTATGTATGTGTGTGTGTATATATGTGTATATATATATATATATATATATATATATATATATATATATATATATATATTATGTATATATATATATGTATATATATATATGTATATATGTATATATATATATATTATGTATATATATATCTATTATGTATATATGTATATATATATATATTATGTATATATATATCTATTATATATATATATGTATTTTATGTATATATATATATATATATATATATATTTTATGTATATATATATATATATATATGTATATATATATATATATTTTTATGTGTATATATATATATATTTTTTGTATATATATATATATTTTTTTATGTATATATATATATATATATATATATATATATATATATTTTATGTATATATATATATATATATATATATATATATTAGGTATATATATATATATATATATATATATATATATATATATATATATTGCAATCATCAAACTGTTTGATGATCAAAAAGCATGAAAAACTCATACCCATACAACTGAATATGTTAGCTCTGTCACAGATATTGAGCACTTTCCACTAAGTACCATGCATATAATATATATATATATATGTATGTATTAGAGGTATAAGATAGTATGTATGTTTATTAATATATATATATATATATATATGTGTGTGTGTGTGTGCCTGTGTAGTCATTTGCATGATGAGATGTAGTCATAATGCTGGTGTGCAGCTGTGTACCTATCCAGTTCCTTCCACATCATGATCACAATCAGAAATCACGTAACCCCTGAGGGTCGTAGGGGCACATTTACTGCAGCTGCAGTAGAAGTACTGTGTTTTGCACAAGATAGCTTGATGGCTCCCAACCCTCTGAAGGCTAGTTTGAATTCAGGCTTTTCCTTCTCCTAGACTGGCTACCATCCAAGGCTATATAATCTAGTCTGTCCTACTATTTAACCATAGCTGGGAGGAAAAGAGATGTGATGTATACTTTTCCCAAGGGTATTAGCACATGTGTGAATGTAATGAATTCAAATAGAATTTGAACTCAAATTTCTCAATCTGAGCCACAATCGATTACTCCATTGTGTCTCTGATATAGAGATATATTATTAAACCCCAATTGTGCCTTGTTGCCATATGACGAAACACTGGTTCTCATACAGTAACCAAAGTTAAGCAATGTTGAACCTGTTCAGGACCTAGATGGGTGACCACTTGGGAATATCTGGTGCTGTAAGCTTGGATGTGCAGGTGGTGTAATAGATAATGATTCAGAATTAAAAATCTGAAAGCTGAGTTCCAATTCCATTTATCTTTGTTATTTTTCACTTAGGTGCAAAAAAAACCCTTGAGAAAGTTATGAATCAACCTCTTTTTCCCTCAGCTATGGGTTAATTAATAGGACTTGTAGAAGTAAATCAGGTTTATGGCCACATCACACTGAAACACCAGTTCCTGTATGATCACCAAAGTTAAGCAATGTCGAACCCGGTCAGTACCTAGATGGGTAACCACTTATGAATACCAGGTGCTGTAAGCTTTGATGTGTGGATGGTATAATAGATAATGACTTGGAATTGTTAATCAGTGAGCTAATTTCCATTCCACATTGGGTTCGTTATATTCACTTACATGCAAATACCATTGGCAAAGGTATTAATCTACCTCTTCTCCCCACAGATATAAGTTCATTAGTAAATAATTATTGTCTCAAAAAAAAATTCTTACAATCTAAAAATATTTTCTGGTTTTAAATAACCTGCAAAGGGTTGATAAGAATTGACCCTCCACTTTATATCCACATTATAATTTCTTGAAGGCATGTCTTTTAGATTTATTTACATTCTCTGGAATATAAATGTATAAAAACTACTGTGGCTACAAAGTGAGGGATCAGTTTATATATTGATTTCAATATAGAATTGATCCCCCACTTTGTATCCACATTATAATTTCTTGTATGCTTATCAAATTCTTACATAGTATGAAACCACCTCTTCCCCTCCAGCTATGGCTTAATTAATAAAACTCGTATCACTAAACTATTATTATCTTTGCACCACCCAAATTCTTACAATCTAAAAGTATTTTCTGACTTTAAATAACCTGCAAAGGGTTGATACACCATAAAAAACAACTCAGTGAAAATAAATCTGAATCGTAAATGTAATTTGATTGATATGCCCTTTCATCTGACCCAGTGTTTGTGTATCTCTAATTTTATTTTTCGTTTCTTTTCAGCAAATTCTGGTGCAGCTGCAAGTGGCGTCATTTTTTTCCTGACGTACATTCCATACATGTTTATCAGTCCGCGTTACGATAGTCTTAGCTTGAATACTAAAATAGCTACTTGTATCATTTCAAATGTTGCCCTCTCGTATGGTGGGCAAGTGCTAGGAATGCTTGAAGGTCAAGGTAAGAACGGCGATCATTTTTCTTAGTCAAGTGTAAACAGTGAATATTAACACATTAAAGAGAAATTTCAACTCCTTCATCCTGATGTTTAGTAGGTTTCCATTTTCTCTAAAACTTTATCATTGCTCACATGTTCAGTCCATGATATTCTCAGCATCTAGTGTGCATCCTGGTAGGCAAGATGGAGGAACCCCAAAAAATTATTCACAAAGTTAGTGGACTGGCATTCTAATGCTTTTACCACAGTTTTTGATATACAGTATTAACTTCACTTTTTTATTAGATTAGACATTGTCAGCCATTATTATTAATTTTTCACTAGGATTTACTTTCATCTTCATTTCTTATTAGATGAAGCATTGTCAGCCATTATCATTGATTTTTGACTAGGATTTACTTTTGTCATCATTTTTTATTAGATGAAGCATTATCAGCCATTATTATTAATTTTTAACTAGGATTTACTTTTATTTTCATTTCTTATTAGATGAAGCATTGTCAGCCATTATTATTAATTTTTGACTAGGATTTACTTTCTCTTCATTTCTTATTAGATGACGTATTGTCAGCCATTATTATTAATTTTTAACTAGGATTTACTTTTATCTTCATTTCTTATTAGATGAAGCATTGTCAGCCATTATTATTAATTTTTGACTAGGATTTATTTTCGTCATCATTTCTCATTAGATGACATATTGTTAGTCATTATTATTAATTTTTGACTAGGATTTACTTTCTTCATTTTTTATTAAATGAAGCATTGTCAGCCATTATTATTAATTTTTGACTAGGATTTACTTTCTTCTTCATTTTTTATTAAATGAAGCATTGTCAGTCATTATTATTAATTTTTGACTAGGATTTACTTTTGTCATCATTTCTCATTAGATGACGTATTGTTAGTCATTATTATTAATTTTTGACTAGGATTTACTTTCTTCTTCATTTTTTATTAGATGAAGCATTGTCAGCCATTATTATTAATTTTTGACTAGGATTTATTTTCGTCATCATTTCTCATTAGATGACGTATTGTCAGTCATTATTATTAATTTTTGACTAGGATTTACTTTTTTCATTTTTTATTAGATGAAGCATTGTCAGCCATTATTATTAATTTTTGACTAGGATTTATTTTCGCCATCATTTCTCATTAGATGACGTATTGTCAGTCATTATTATTAATTTTTGACTAGGATTTACTTTCTTCATTTTTTATTAGATGAAGCATTGTCAGCCATTATTATTAATTTTTGACAAGGATTTACTTTCATCTTCATTTTTTATTAAATGAAACATTGTCAGCCATTATTATTAATTTTTGTGATCATCTCATTTTTTGTAAGCTTTTTTCTGCTTTTGATACCAGAGCAACATATTTGAAATTATCTTGCAACAACAGTAGTGAGCATATATTTCCAAAGCAGTGTCCTTTAGGTTCAGAACCTGTTCTCTGGCCTTTTAAGTGCTCAGGCAAGTCCCATTGTGGCTGGATTAATGTGGTAAAACCTGTAATATATTCACGACTCACCACAGCCTCCTTTTCTTTATTATCTATGAATTGCTATGTATTCTTGGAAAAGGTTTGCGAGTAGCTTCACATTACTTTTCCCATGATTTGGAATTTATTGTTTTCACTCTCTTAGAATGGTTCACACCTGAGCCTAGAGAGCCTAACCTACCCTGCTATTTATTTCATAACTGGAGGGGTGTTGACAAGAAATAGATCCATGCCTTTCCAAAGGACTGTTTCAGAAGTAAGCACTGAGTTAGTAATGGATGAGGACAACTATTAGACTTGAAGTCTGTCTAATTCTTCATTGACTTGATCCTGTTGCGGATGAGATGGTGAAATAAGTTTGAAATGTGATCAGAAGGCTTTTTAGTTACATAAGGTCGGTTGCGTGTGTAAAACTTCACTTGTCCACAAGCATTTAAATTTTTGATGTATGGCATAAGGCTAACAAGGCAATCAAAAGATGACAACATACGTAAAACAATAACAAAATATTTATATAGAAATAATACAATTATTAAGAATAATATAGAGATTTTTATCTGAGCTGAGCTAAGTTTCAAAGTTCAGTAATGTTAATTAAATGAAGAAAAATATTTAAAATGTTCTTTCTAAACAGTGTCTTTTAGTACAGAAATTTCATGATACAAAAATAAGAGTTGCTTGCCTTTAACTATAATATTAATTATTTGCAAACTTTTCTTTGGAAGAAAGAATTTTTTTTATCAAGTCTCACAATTAAAAAGTGTTTGTTTTTTTGTTTTTTTAGAAGAAATGTTCTTTGTGAATTAGTTAAATGTTTTGTGTAATATGAATATTTTGAGAATGTGTTTGATAAAGTAGAACTTTGAATATTTATTTGATCTTTCAAGAAGTTTTGTTTGGTACTAAATAAAATTTAGTTTTTGTACTTCTGAAAAGAATTAAAATAAATCTTGCCGCTAAAAGAAAGTGTTCACCAAAATCAAATCTTGTTAAATAGAAATGAGTGAGAATGTTTCTTGAATTATGTCCTGAAGAGCTGATAATATGTTCAGGAAAACTTGTAGCTTTAGAAAAAACTTTTTCTTTAAAGTAATTTCTTGCTGGTGAAAAATTGGAAAAAACTGTAATATCCAAGTTAAATTTCTTAGCGTGGTAGCAATATATCTGGTTGACTTTTCTTTCATCTCAATGTGAAAGAGTAAATGTTCCGTAATGTTTGTAATTAAGTTTCTGTTACTTGTAGTTGAATATTCATAATATGTTAGTTTGTTATGTTCTGTTATAATTTTTATACACATTTATTTCTTGCTGGTGAAGAATTGGAAAAAAAAAACGTAATATCCACGCTAAATTTCTTTAGCGTGGCAATGATTTGTCTGGTTGACTTTTTTTTTATCTCCTTATTTATTTGGTTGTCTGTCACCTGATTTCAAAATATTGGCGGCAAAACCTGATTGTATAGGTGTCTTTCATACTTATTGTTATTCAGCCAATCAGAAATTAGAAAAATAGCAAGGTCTGTGTGATCCACTTTTTGCACATAATTTTCACTTTTTTAAGAAGACATATAGTAATTGCATTGCAGTATTTTTTAACCAATGATTTAAGAAGAACACTAAAATCCAATGCTGCAAATGGTACACTATATTTCAGTTTAAACACTGGTATTCACCCTTTTTTTAACTTGAAATTTGGTTTTGATTTTGGAACACTGACCCAACTCATCCCATAGAACATCTGGAAAACATTTTTTCAATTTTTCTTTTAAATTTTCACAATTTTTTTAACTGGTAGTTTGTCCACTTATATTTTTGCTATAAATATTTATAGGTAAATCCCACAACTCAAATAATTTCATCCAGTCAGTGCCAAATAAGTTTGTAGTATTTGTTAATACATAAGTCTTAGCTTTTACACACTAGTTACAAAATGAAATATTACAAATCATTTCATCAATAAAAAATAATTTCTTACCCAACATGTCATGTGTGATTTTCAAAGTTCTTTTTAATGTAGGTTTTCCATTTGTTTTCCATGTGGCTTCATTAATTATTGTGATATCACCACCAGTTTCTAGTTGCATTTTTACATCCACATTATTAATTTTTCTGTAATTATTTTTCTGTCACAATGCTGTGTATGAAATTTTTACTATGAGAACTTTTCTGTGCTTTAGTTTTACAGTGTAACTTTTTACTGTTAATGATTATCTTCTGTCTTCTTAATTCCTGTTCTTTTATTGTTTTCACTCCTTAATAATTTTTTCTCTTATATTCTCTAACACCCAGTAACCCCTAGTGTCCTAGTGGCTTTATTGCTTTGCTTGGGGTGAGATGATTAAAAAAAAAAGACCTGTACTTTTTAAATATCATACTTTAAATGTTATTTATAGTGGATATGCATATTTGAGTAGACATCTCCATGTATCTATTTATTTTCATCTGGCGGCCTGAAAATTCAAAATATTAAAGAAAAATATGCGCCCTCCAGCAGGATACAAACCAGTGTCCCCTGGGGCAGAGGTAACCATCATTACATACATCATTCTCTAGACCAACAGAAAGAAAAAGCTTTTGTCAATCAGGCAAGGCTAAATAATGCCTTGAAGAAAAAACAATC